CATCTGGTGTGGGTGAGTGATAGTCTACTTTGATTTTGGTTAAGGTAGATTATCATTTACAGTGTAATCAATGAGGGGATTTTGCAGACTGTTGAGGGTTCAACCTCTTGATGAGTCGGTGAAACTCCGGCGAAACAGTTTGCCACAGCCCCTCGTTTGTTGTCTTCTTCTCTCTCTCTGCCTATAGTTTACCGGGCAGTTCTGTTTGTGACGATATATGCTACGACTTCGCTAGCTTCCTGCTACGGTTTCTTCCGGTCAGGTCGAGTGGCAGTGGTCGGGGCCGTTACTAGGCGGCCATGCTGTGCCTCTAGTGCCAACGGCGTGTCTGGAGTGTATTTTTTGGCTGTGACAGACCTTTCTTTGTTTCGTGGATGTTTTGCTGGCTTGTGATGGGGTGTGAACCGACAGTCTGTAGAGTTTTTCATCTGGTGTGGGTGAGAGATAGTTTACTTTGATTTTGATTAAGGTAGATTATCATTTACAGCGTAATCAGTGAGGGGATTCTGCTGACTGTTGAGAGTTCAGCCTCCTGATGAGTCGGTGAAACTCCGCCGAAACAGTTTGTCACAGCCCCTCGTTTGTTGTCTTTTTCTCTCTCTCTGCCTACGGTACCCGGGCAGTTCTGTTTGTGATGATATATATATATATATATATGGGGTTGTAGGGATTTTCAAGCCCTACAACCCCATTTGTTTTTTTGGAATTAGATAATTTTTTTAAATTATAAAAAATAAAAATCAGAAAAGGTGGAGAAGAGAAATAAAAAATAAATTTTATATATATATATATATATATATATATATATATATATTTACGGATGAGTGTGTGTGTGTGTGTGTGTGTGTGTGTGTGTGTGTGTGTGTGTGTGTGTGTGTGTGTGTGTAACACGTTATTCGTTAAAATATGACATTATATTGTATCCTCTTTCTAACGAATTAATTTTTGGCTGCAGCCTAAGAAACGTAGGCATGCCCATCCAGGCGTTAACCACATGTAGAAGCGTGCTGAGATCCATACTTGTGAAACTTCATAAATGAAATTCCAAATGTGGAAGTGTGTTGGGATCCTTACTTGTTGAACTTCAAAAACATGTTGGTGATCCTGTGGGGAAGTGTGTTGGGATCCATACTAGTCAAACTTCATAAACGAACAACGATTGGCACGCCAAAGGGAACTCTGTGCGGAAGTGTGCCGTGATCCTAACTTGTCAAACTTCAATTTCATAAATGTGATGAAAGATACAGTAACTATATTGTGACACTGTCCTCTTTCTTACGAATTCATTTTTGACTGCAGTGTTTGTACATGGGCATGCCCGCCCAGTCGCCCCAAATGTGAAAGTTTGCTGAAATCCATAGTTGTTGAACCTTTGTAAACAAAATTAGCAATGTAATTAGATTGAATTAAATTAAATTGTGCTCCATCACGATGAATATCCGCATTTGAAATGGTCATGCAAAAAAGGTTTGGGCATCCACTGACCAATTTCACATAAGATGAGATTTCTCATTCATCCACCAACCAGTTTCACAATCATGTTTACACTTCTAGTTGAACAGAATTCGAAACATGGAACACAATACTTCAACTTGAACAAAATTTGGAACATGGAACATTACGTGACATAGATTACAAAGCTCATACATGACGCAGGACATGCATTGAGCTTGCCGTAGATAATGCGAACTCGGAACGATAAAAGAAAGCAATGCCTCTGGCAGAAGGACGGTTGAATAATGTCTCGATTTACGAAATTTAACGATCAACGAATGGAACACCTTAAAAAAAAGTTTCGAAGTCAATCAAATCCATCAAAGACAACGATGTTCTAAGACACATGATGTTAATTGTCGTCTAAGAAGCGGAATAGATTTACAAGAGAACCGGAAAGGCGGTCGATCTCCATGTTGCAACAACGTCACATACATCAACATGGACACACCACAGCTTGCTCCATCTTGTCCACCACAACATTTCCCACCATGGACTTCCAATTCCTACCCGACCGCCTATGTGATGTTTGACGTTCCAAATACTGCACAATCAACCCGAACACACTAAGGTAAAAACTAGAATCAGCTACAATGCGAGGAAAAAAATCAAAAATTTCGAGAACATCATCTTTCATGTTGACGGAAACGAGGATCCAGTGATCATCATCTTTGTGGACAGGAACGAAGATTATATCGTAACGAAGCAAATCTACATTTTTAGCCCACCTCTGCACCCCACCGTGTCCTTGAAGTCGCAGTTTACCGAAGAAGAACGAATTAAAGCTGAAGACTTGAAGGCCTGAAGAGATGTCACGTGACCCACATGCGGTTGACCCCAACAACGCCATATAGAAATTGACCACGTCATCATTCACCCTGCCGTTGACATGCAAGAGGGTGAGGAGATCTTTTGCTGCAATCCGAAATTGACCATCGCCCAGTATAGAGAGAATAGTGTTAGCCGACACCGAGCCTCGTACAATGTCATCCAAAACCCACAAGCTCAGAGGCGCAATCGTCGCAGCGAAACTTTTTCCGTGTGCTGCACTTGTTGCCCGCACTCCATAACATCGAGCAAAGGACACGTAGGGTAGTGAGAAACGAAGTTCTAGACATTGTCCCCCGGTGCATGACGCGTTGCTAAGTACTTCTCATACATGGCCAGACCCCTACTCACAGATCGTGGATACGTCCCTTTCTCTGGGGCAAGAAGGGAAAGACATTCCTCAATGGCAACGGTGTACTCCTTCCCGATCTCGACATCAACCCCTGATGCCTTTAGCATATCCTTATGTTTTTTACTCAACCCGGGGACTTTCTGCAATATGTGCTCTGGATATTTGGAGGACCTCCGTGTTCGAGACGACTCCACCCCTGTACAACAGAAGAAAGACAAAACGAAAAATGAGAACCATACATTCGTACAGACGCAACAGTCAAGCAGGACCTCTCCGACCACAGGACCCTGATCTCGCGTGGTCATGTGCACCCAGGTGCGGTTGTGCGACTGGAAAACAAAATGACTGCAACATCCGAGCTTATCACCCCCGCACTTCTCAAAGGAAAACCACCACAACTCACAGCAGCCGGAGGCCAGCAATCCGCGAAGTTCGGACTGCGGCGGACTTTTGAACACACCAGCCCCACTGAGACTGACCACATCACGCATCGACAAAGGAAGTTCGGATCCCGGCGGACTAAAACCGGCACTATTCCCGAGAAGGGAAAATTGTCAGTCCATGTACTTGGCCACTTTCTTAGCACCTTGGCCTACAGTCAAGCAGGACCTCTCCGACCACATGACCCTAATCTCGCAAGGTCATGTGCACCCAGGTGCGGTTGTGCGACTGGAAAACAAAACGATTGCAACATTCGAGCTTATCACCCCCCGCACTTCGCAAAGGAAAACCACCACAACTCACAGAAGCCGGAGGCCAGCAATCCCCGAAGTTCGGACTGCGGCGGAATTTTCAACACACCAGCCCCACTGAGACTGACCACATCACGCATCGACAAAGGAAGTTCGGATCCCGGCGGACTAAAACCGGCACTATTCTTGAGAAGGGAAAACTGTCAGTCCATGTACTTGGCCACTTTCTTAGCACCTTGGCCACTTCCTCAGCCGGGGCAGATCCTTCCTTGGATGAAGTGTAAGGTTTTGGACGAAGTTTTCACCGCCCTCGACTAGCAACCCGGCCGAGTCACAGATAGGCCGACGAGCTGGAGTAGGAAGGGCTGCTGGTTGTAGCATGCTAACATCCGGAACTTCCCGTATGCACAGACAGTGTGGACAGTCGTCGTGTGTATAGCGCGGACTGTAATCCGGCGACATCCGGATGTGCAGGCGTTCTTCACGGCTTACCAGTCTATTTCTCTATCCGCTCCTTCGATGGTGAATTTGGCGCAAGCAAAGCGAGCACGTCGAGAGCCTGACCGCCGAACCTCGATTTTTTTGGGGACGTCACATGCTGTCCTCCACCGCACTCGCCTTCCCCTTCGGTGGCAAGGGTGGCCTGCAGCACCAGAGACTTCGGCGGCGACGAAGCGAGGGCAGCTGCCATAGAAGATGCGACGTTGGCAGTTGCGGACGGACGGGTAGACACGTTGTGGTCGCCGAGGATACCGTCGATAACTTCGTCGATGCTTATACGTCGACTTTTTTCAGACGGGCTGATAGCGACAGAAGCCTCGTCGAACCGGTGCTGCAAGTCGACAGCAGATGTCAGTGGCCGGACCACATAATCTTCAGGCTCTGCGGAAAGGCTGCTGACCACTTGTGTCTCCATCTCTATTGCCGTGGCATCGTCGTCGACATCATCCTCGTGATGCTCTCCGTACAGTTGTCCGAACTCGTCAGACGACTCTCCAGATCCAGCATCGTCCTCACTGCGTTCCACTTCGTCTTCTCCAGACCCGGCACCCTCCCTTCCTTCAAACAAATCAATTAGCTCCGTTTCTCCCGCTTCCTCCCCTTCCACCTCTTCTTCCCCTTCTTCCTCCCCTTCTTGCGCTCCCTTCTGTTTCTCCATTTCCTCCCCTACTTCCCTCCCACGAAACTCGTCCCCTTCCGCGGTATCCGTACCGAATCGCGAGGACCGCCCTTCCGTCCCCGTGCACGCTGCCCCTCTCAACGGCACAACAATCCCTGGCCGACAAACCCCGCCCGAAGAAGTTCGGATCTCGGCGCACTTCGTGGTCTCAGTGTCGCCGGACCCTGCACTTGCAGCCTCCCGCTGCAATCCTTGCGGCTGTCGCTCCCGCTCAGGCGACACCGTTCCGACGTCTCCGTCCCGCGCCACAATGCTGCGAATTTCTCGATCCGTGCTTGGATCCCCCGACCCCGAGCAGCTTCGCTTTCCGGCCGAGCGACTGCCCAGAGCAACCAAGGCTGCCAACGTGTCCCTCGCTGAGCCCACGGACGAAGTCTGGGGGTCGGCGGAGTGTGTCGTGTGCTCGGGCCGGGTGCCTGTCGACGGAGTCCGGTCGACGGCGAAACCCTCCACCCCGGCGCTGCCTCCCGGTGTCGTGTTGCGGCCGTGAGACCCTCTCTCCCCCATAGGCGGGATTCCTTTGCCACCCCCTGCGTCGCCACCCCCGTCCCCTCCGCTTCCAGGTGACCCCCCCCCGGAACCACCGTCCGGCCCGCTGGGAGGGGGCACTTTCCAGTCCAGCACGCCCTTCGACGGACTCGTGTCGAGCTCGTAGTAGTCCTTCGTCAATTCCAACCAGCACTTGTCCTGAAGCTCGTCAAACAGTCGACCGACAGTGGAAATGACGGAGAGGTCGCCGGGTGCTAAAGTGTCATTTTCGACCTTCACTTTCTGGAGGACCGAAATCCTCGCGAGGTGCAGGAAGTTGAACTTCGAATCGCGTGGGAATGACACCCATCCCGCGCCCGGGATTGCCACGGCCATGACCCACTCGCCATTTCGTATCGCTGGCTAGATGACTCCCGGATGCCAAACCATGTCATGGCCCCAGTCCTGCTCAGGTGAATGACGTTGCGGTTCAAGCAGGAAGTGGATATTGTCATCCTTCCAGGACGGATGATCGGGCGGGACAATGGACCCGGGACGCAAAGCGGGCGGGGCGGCGGCCAGAGCTCTAAGTCTCTCCAGCAACTTCATCGGCGTGGTGCCCGGCGCAGGTTTGGCCAATGGTGACACGAGGGCTGCAGCGCTTGGTGATGGACCGGCCGACGAGGACCCTCGGCCGTGGTCCGCCGGAGGTGGGTCGTACTGCAGGTCAATGCTCTCCGTGTCGCTCTCCTCCTCCTTCGCGTTGGCGACAAACTCCACACCTATGGCTTCCTCGTCGTCAGTGGAGATCAGGGAAGCGTAACTGGCTAACTTCAACTGCTCCTCGGACTCCACGAAGTACAACGACTGCAGTCATTCGATAAACGTCTTCGCGTTCATGCGGGAGGCGAAGTGGTAGTTGTCGAGCAGTGCCAACATGTGGTCCTTCCGGCGGATGTACTCGGCGTCAGTGTCCCTCCTCGGACGCGTTTGAAGGAACAAGAAATCGTATATCTTGTTCCTCTTCCTCTCGCTCAACTTGAACCACATATCCGTCTTCTTGCTCCACACCTCATCCCGTGTTGGCCTCACAACCATGAACTCACAATTGTGCCCACTCGAATTGACCTCGCTTTTCATCACCTGCATCGTGAATTGCAAGAGGTCAGATTTCCCTTCCATTGCGACAACGTGCCGGCCGGCCTTCAGAAGCTCCCAGACGCTTCGCGCGTGCGGTTTCCCAAGGAACACGACACCCTCTCCCTTCTTGCCAAGAAAATCAAGAAGACCGACGAATTGGGTTGGATTGCGTTCCATATCCCCGTAGACGCTGCTCTGTCGTTCAGGTGCCACCAGCTACCAGTCGCAAGGCGTGAAAGGAATCTCGGACACATCCGTCTGGGTGACCCTCTAAGGCAATCGCACCGCAGCAGCGGCACCCGTGGGCAGGTTTCCCTCGTAGACCACGGACGTGTTGACGCGCAGATCGTCGTCACCTTTGAAGAGGATGTACATGTGGTCTTCCTCCGTGTACAAATTGTTCCCAACGGGGAAGCTTTTTTTTTGCTGCACTCTCCGCACCCACTTCCCTTCCAACAACTTGACGAAAGAAAGATGGTGCATGCTGGCGAGAAACGACAGGTTGTGCTGCCGCGGCACGAAAACAACAAGAGTCCAATGCGAGGGACACCACGTCTGAAGATAGGAATTCAAAGTCTCTTACGCTTGGGGCTTCCACAGTCTGAGGTCAACCGGCTCGCACAGATCGAGGACGAACGTGTGGCTCTTTGTGGCAGCCACTGCCTTCTTCAGCTCTCCGCCCCTGATGTCCACCTCTAAAGGGTCGTTGGCGAACGGCGCGATGGATGTCACGTCCCCCGTGTCTTTCCATTTAATGTGAACGACGCCTTCGGCAAGTGCGACTTCCCGGCTCTTCAGTCTGCTTCCATTCAACACGAAGAGAACCTTGTTTCTCCAGTCGACGGACAACTTCTTGTGGCCCGCCAACTTCTCCGTCACCTCAATCGAGTTGTCCTGGTCGCAACCCATGTACGGCAGGCAGTCCTTGAACAACGCCGAGTCGGAAACGTGTTTCCTGCTGTTATCCCACAACTCGACATCCAATCCCTGACCTTCAAACTTCTTGAACATGGCAGACCTCAATTTCAGGAAAGGGTACCTTTGGATCCAGTCTGCGTCCGGCCTCTTCTCGTGCTTGAATTGGTAGTAATTCCACAACCGGACCAGCACGCGGTCGCACTTCACCAGCTGAACCATGTCCTGCACGCTGAGCTTTCCCAACTTCGCCAACGACGGGGAGCCGGCCTGGACCCAAACGACCTCGCAAGCAAGCACCTTTTTCAAAACGCGACACTTCTCATTGTCCGTGAGTGATTCCATTGCTTTCCAACAATGCGCGTCCGGGTCTGGCACTTGCACGAACCAATCGCACTCCTCTTTCTCCTTTTTGCCCTTTTTATTCGGCGGGTCCACGGGGACGTTGTGCACCACCTTCGTTCTGCCCAATTTGTCGTTGTGGATGTAGGCGACCCCAGGCTTCACGTTTTTGACCTTCTTCTTTTTGACGGTCCACTTCGCCCCATCGTGGCTCAGCAATCTGCCCGTCTCCCATTTTTCGAAAAATTCCACGGCCAGTTTCCAGACATTTTCCCCGACCATCGCCAGAGGTAAGTAAGAACGTAGGGCAGCATTTTGCTTCTTAATGGCCTACTCTTCCTTTTGATCCGCGAGAAGCCACAAGCTGTTTTGAGGCGCCTTATGGAGCGCCGTTGTACAAAACTTACGCCAAGCCCGGACCGGATCTTGTTTCCCGCTAGGGTTCACCATCACAGCTCTCGGGTAGCCGTCATGCTTCCAACGCCATCGAATGTCTTTCATAGAAAGTTTCAACTGTCTGGGAAGCGCCTTCGGGTCCTTTTGGTTGTCCTGTGAACTAACAAGAAAATACCCTTCGAAGTCATTGTCGGAAAAGTACACCATCCGTGCCGGCCACCGCTCGAAATTGTACTTCTTGGCCACCTCGCTGCCAAGCAGCGACCTGGCTGCAGCCGCGTTGTGCTGCCCGCACACCCCGTAGTAGTAGTATTCTCCGCCAGCTCAGCCTTCCACTCCTCTGGCTTCAAACGTTGTGCCTTGGTCCCAGGAGTTGGTTTTTGAAGCCCTAGTGGTGCGAGCTTGAAGACCGGCAACTCGTACGTCTGTTCTTTATTTTCGAACGCAGACCGCATTGCTTCCCTTATCGTTTCCACGAGGACGGGATCTAGCGACCGCTGGTTGTAAAGATCCTCCCACTCCCTTATGTCAACGATCTGAGCCGGGCTGATCTCAAACTCCCGCCTTGTCCTGACGCCGTCTTTGTACTCCAGGAAGTACCCGACGTCCACGTCGATGGCAGGCCGTGGTGAAGAAGGTCCGGACTCAGGCTGTTTATGTTTCGAAGCTGGACGTTTGCTACCCGGGTGGCCCTCTTCCAACCCCCTCCCCTTCCGTTTCTCTCCCGCAGTCCTCGGGGTCTTGGTCTTCTGTTTCTTCGAAGAGCCCACCAACTCTTCTTAACATTCTCCCCTCCTTTTTTGGGGAGTGCCCTGCGCTCCCTCCTTGCCCACGGCCTCGCCTTCCGCGCCATGGCCCTCGGCGGGCTCCAAGTCAGACCCACACAAGACTCCCTCTTCTCCGGGATCCGCTGCGGTCTGTTGCCGGACCCCAGGTATGGACAGCACGGACCTGTCTCTTTCCCTCGACGGCGAAAACGGCGGACATGGTGTCGCCTCATCTTCGTTGTCGTCAAACTGACCTCTGGCATCCTCCCGCTGCATATGTGTAGCCTCCCCGGAACCCAGATCCCCCCCCTCCCCCGCTGCCCCGCTCGACTCACAACCGCCACACGGCTGCAAAGGCATTGACAGTTCGAGGTTGGGACCGACTTCGCAAGGGACGTCGAGGGCGATGCCCTTGTACTCCAACAGGTCGAAGAACTCTCGACCCAAAACAAACCCGCCCTGCGGCCGGAGGTCGTTGTAGAATGGGGTGTTCGCAGTACCCGCTCCGAACCCCTCGAACAGACACATGTCGAGAACTCCCCCTTGGCACCGGCGATGACGTTCCCCTTCGAACCGTACACATTTTTCATGTAAAACCGTCAACGACTGCCTTTCGCTTTCTCCCACCGCAAGACAGCCCCCAGAACCCTGCGGCGCTTGTTGGCTTCGACGAAGATCACAGGACCACACGGCTGTTGGACTGGGTTCGTAGCATCAGCACAACACTAGTCGACGAACCATTTCGACCTAGCGTGGTCGGACCACGTCCTCAAGGTCGTAGACGACCGTTTTGTAGAATCTTTCCCAGATCCCATCCCAAAGGTCGCTGCAGGCTCCCCTTCGCCCCTCGACGAAGACATATTGTCTGCGGACGACAACGGAAAACAAATAAAACACCAGTGAGCGTCAAATCGCAGTCAAAGCACAACGCAGGCGAAAAACAGAGGAGGCACACCTTGCCCTCAACACGTCAGTCACATGACGCTATCTGAGGACCTCGAAGTTCGGATCCCGCGAACTTCTAACGCGAAGACCAGCAATGACCTCTTACCTGCAACGAGATCATTCTTTA